ATAAAAGATGTGTCATCTGGGGGGCTGACCCCGTGGCCGAGTGGTTAAGTTCGCTTTGGCAGCCCAGGGTTTCGCCAGTTCGAATCCTGGGTGCGGACATGGCACCGCTCATCAAGCCATGCTGAGGCATCCCACATGCCACAACTAGAAGGACCCACGACTAAAAATATACAACTATGTACCGGGGGCTTTGGGGAGAAAAAGGAAAAATAACATCTTAAAAAAACAAATAGAAGTGTCATGTCAACTGCATACATAAAGGCACACAGAAATAGTGGTGGACAAAGCGTCAGTGATTCCTCTGGCACCATTTAGAGGGCTTTGGCCATGTTTGTTCGTTTAATCCTTTACTAACTCTCTGAGGTAGGTTTTACAACAACCCCATTTTACAGATGAGGACAAGGAGGCACAGAGTGGTTGAGTAACTGGCCCACAAGGTCCAATAGCTATATAAGTGTTAGAGCCAGGATTTGCACTCAAGCAACCTGGATTCAGAATTTGTGCTTTTAACCAGTATGCTATATTGTCACTAATGGGCTGCATAAGAGCCTGGGTCGTAGGGTCAGATTTCATGTCCGTCACTCACTAGGCAAAGGCAAGTTACTTAACGTCTCCATGTTTCAGTTTCCTCCTCTTAGTAAAAGGTACCTGCATCTTACTGGCATGGAAAGGATGCAGTGAGTTAATATGCCCGCAGTGCTAAGGACAGCACCTGGCACGCAGTAACTCTTAGTAAATGTCACTTTTTACTATTAGTATCATATTATATATACCTTTAGTAGGGGAAAACTGGAAAGATTTACCAAAGTGATACTTAAATGAACCTGATTACATCCCCACGTAAGAATGTAAGGCTGATGTTTATAAACATTTCCTTAAATGATAGAAGCATTAGTGCAGAAATTTTGGAAATTCTTCCTGAATACTGATATAGGCACTGAATACAAGAGGGCTATGATAGAACACAATATTATTACAATAACAATATTGTAACCTAACAATAATTCACATTTATAGATATTAGCTATGTGTCAGACACTGTTTTGGTGCTTTACAACAACTCTTTGAGGTCAGTAATATAATTAGTTCCATTTTACAGATGAGGAAAAGGAGGAACAGAGAGGTATAGCAGCTTGCCCTGGGTCACACAGCTAACAAGTGATGTAAATACGAATTCTGGGTGCCAAGGGAAGGTGTGTGAGACAGGCCCCATCTTCTCTGGGTCTTCCTGGCTACCACAGTTCCACCATGTTTCTGAAGCTTTGGCTCAATAAATCAGGAATTGATACAGTGGGACTAAATGTGTGGTCACTAGCTTCTAATTCACAGCACACTCCCTGCCCCCTCTCCCCATGAATTATTGCATCCATATTATTTTTGTAATTAAAAACAAAATTGTATTTTAAAAAGACTCAGAGATTAGGATAATTCTTGACTAGTCACAGATTTAAGTCTGAGCATAATCACAGATGTTTGCTCTTAGTTTTCAATTCCACCACAGTAGTTATGTAACACTTGTGGGTGCTGCTACTGGGTCTAACAAAGAACAATAACAAAGATAAAAATGCAGCAGAAGATGAAAGCGTAAGGGGAATAAAGAGAAAAAAATGAGGGAAAGAACCAAAAGTACAGGCTGTGGAGTGACAGCATACCAACAACACCGGCAGACGATTTTATTAGGCGGCACCAATGTCTACTCTAGCTTAGGTGTCCTCAGACTGCCCTTCTAGGAACTGCCTCCTGAGCCTGCTCGCTCACTCATAACCGAAGCATTCACTCGAGTGGAATGACCTAGGATTTGGCTGAATTTACTGGCTCCCTTGGCAGAACTTCTGTCTTCACACACATGAGTCCAAGTTGGGGCAGACATGAGTGGGCCTCTGGGGATGGAACTGCTGTAGAAGTGAAGGTGAGGGGCATTGCCTACACCCAGCTCTAAACAGGGACTACAACAGAGTCCATTCGAGCCAGCATACGACAAAAATCCTTCATCTTCAGTTGTGAAACATATTATTTATATTTTTGGCAACATATTTATTTTCCCAATTGTAATTTGTTTAAGCTAATATTAAAATTTGTTTGCATTCTTTGAGAACTGGCAACAGTAACAAGTGGTGCCAGAAACAGGGATAAACTAGCCTAGCAATAAAAACCTGATTACAACAATATGGAGAATATAACAAATAAGACATTGGTACAGGATAGAATCTCATCAAAGCATGCATACTATAATATGCAAAAAGAACAGAAATGGAGATTTACTTTTTTTTGTAATTCCCTGCTAGGAAGCATACAAGGAATAAACTTGTGAGAAAAAAAGCAAAACAAACATTTGATCCAACGCCAAATAAAATGGGACTTATTTACTCCTACCATGAGGCCATTTTAAACAAATTTATAATGGATTTAAATAATAGAGGCCCTTTATTACTTATCTCCCAAACTCTACACTACTTAAAAATTAATCTAACAGCGATCAGTAAAACACATTGATCTGAAAATAATTAATTCCTTTTTTTCCCTCAAACACAAAGTTGAAATCTCTAAATGTCCTCAATTGCCTGTGTTGAGTAAAAGGTTATTGTTTTGGCCAAAAGTAAAGGAGAGGGTTTGGTTCTGGCAGAGCCAGGAACTGAGGAAGAACAGGATGCACTGTGATGCTGGGTCCATCTCATCTGATGGAGGAGGATAATGAGGCCATGAGAAACCTCACATGCAACCAGATTAGTTTTATTTCTGAGACATGAAAAACATTTCTCTATTCATGAGTCCCTTATTTTCTCAAATCAATGTATAATTTATTTTTCTTAAGTAAGCGGAATTAAGAATTACTCCTAAAGCTGTATTTCCCATTTGCTACATCTGAAATACTTAGAAGAAGAGTTTGTGAAAAGACTGGACACAAAGACCAAAAGATCTAGAGAAGAATTCTGAAAAAGCAATCAAATACAAATTGTGGTATGTTTTCCACAAAAATCTAAATTCAAAATGATATTCACATACTCTAAAAAAATGCTAAACAGAAAATCCCACCAAAACTTTATCTGACATTTTGGAATGCTGCCTGTAAAAGTTGATTGTATAATTAATTTGGCACAGTATATCCTCATAAGATCAAGGCTGGTAATGAATGGCGTGAGACTAAGAGTCCAATTTTCAACTAGTTAATCTTCCCCAAATTACGAAAACATTGATTCTTTAAGAATCCAGGATTTTGATTACTGCAATGCTGGTTTGTAATAGAATTTGATCTGCATTTAGATTTTTTTTTTTAAAGACTGGCACCTGAGCTAACAACTGTTGCCAATCTTTTTTTCTTTTATTCTTCTCCCCAAAGCCTCCCAGTACAGTCGTATATTCTAGCTGTGAGTACCTCTGGTAGTGCTATGTGGGATGCCGCCTAAGTGTGGTCTGAGGAGCGGCGCCATGTCGGAGCCCAGGATCCGAACCCATGAAATGCTGGGCCGCCAAAGCGGAGCGCGCAAACTTAACCACTCAGCCACGGGGCTGGCCCCTGTATTCAGTTTTGTAAAACTGTGCTTGTTAGCAGGTATATCTATATTCTTTCTTTCTGTATTCAGTTACTTCTATTATGTGCACCATGCTTAAAAAAAAACACTCTTGTGTGATCCTATCAGGCTCTAAATGAGAGGTTTGATTCCAAGAGTTACTTAGCTTGAAAATAAGCACATTAACTTGCTTCATTGTGGGATTAGGATATACTTGAGAGTCCTGAACTACACAACTATTTTAACATGTCATTCTAACTAGAATCACAATAATAGCGATTTTTAATTTTATAAAGAGAATTTGTTCTGACAAAACTAAAGAATCTGAAATTACATTTTTACAAAAAAATTACATTTTTTCAAATTAGAGATCAAATCCAGTAGAGATCTAATCAGTGAAGAAATTCTTATAATACGTATTTACACATAAGAGATATTTAAACAGAGAATTCACCCCCAATGTAGTCAGATCATGGCTGGCCTCCATAATGACTCGTAAATATTTGGTGAACAGGCTGCAGGATTTGCCCACCCACCTTAAAGTTTGCTCCACAGCTATTCACAGTCTAGGAAGACCTCTGCTATCCTCATGCTCTCCTAGGACTGCCCTAGGAGTCCAGGCTACTTAGTACCTTCTCTAGGAAACAGTTCTACAAGCCCAAATCCAGACACTGTAAGAATGAATGAGCTTCCAAGGCTCTCTGAAAACAGTGACCTTTGTAGGGCTTCTATTTTGGGCGCAGACACAGGACCACATTTTCAGAGAGACAAGCTTCCCTGGAGCCTTGTTCCATAATGCTGGGGCTTGTCTCCGGCCTCCAAGGATGAAAATCCTTCAATTTGTTCACCCTGATGTCTCCCTAGCACCTTCTGTAGAGATTATTATGGTACTAATGAGAATAGTATTGTCTAGTCACCCATTAGCTTGTTCTGAAGTTCTTACTTACAAATTGTAGGTAAAAAGAAAGTAGAAACTTGATTAAATGGGCCAGTTCATCTGGCCTAACCCCCAAATCTTATTGCATATGATTTCTCAATTATTTTCTTAATATTTAATTTTTAACCATACATACTGAGTAAATAACATAAGGCAACTTCCAGGATGCCTTCTGTTTTGCCATCCAGCAGAGTTCTAAACTATCTTCTAACTCTAATCAGTTGGTTTACAGTCATGGAATTCCAATTTTATTCACTATTCACCTAAACAAAATATGATTGCCAAGCAAATATATCAAAATGTATTGAGAACGTATCCCTCAATACCAGGGAAACGTCATGTGTTCCAATCACTTTAAAGATCTATTATGCCCTGCTTTCTGAACTGTATTATTTATTCATTCAGCAATAATTTATTTAATCTCTATTAAGATAAAACATTGGAAACTAGAATCTTACTGCCTTTCTTAAATCATTTGTATAACTGGGAGTACCCCGACCCTGAAATTGTCCTATAAAAATCTATTTGGACAAAATGTGCTCTCTCTTCTATACCTTATTGTCAGTCCTAATCGTGACTTTCAGTTGTGGTAGTACACGTTCCACTTCCAGACTCCATTCCGCAGCATCTGTTGTGGATTCCAAAATATCTTCTTGTTTGGCAGACTCGTTCATATCCTAAGAAAGGAAAGATATCACAAGATTGAGAGTTTATAAAAAGAAATGGTAAAATGTTGAGGCGCTTTAGCAGTACTGCACAATTTATATCAAGCATGGTAGTGTTAAAATTATAGTGGCAGAAGAAATTCTTCCTATCCATGTTGAAAGAAAATAATGCACCAACCTGGTAGAATAGCAAAATAAGTACTTTAAAAAAGAATAAAATATATGCTTCAACCACTTTTACAAAAAACAATGCTTTTGAGATACCAGAGTGAACTCAACAGGAATACTAACAAATGGACAAGCCATTTAGGGATGTTAGCTGTTAACAGTAGAGGAGATACAAACACACGTTTGGGAAGAAAACGCTGTTTTAGTTTGAATTTACTATACTGAAATACAAACTCAAAATCTGAAAGATAAAAAAGGTAAGATCCCAGAAGCAAAGGGCTCATTATTTAGAAATTTTATATTCATAATTAAAGTGATATTCTGGTTAAGTCAAACTATACTGTAACTTAAAAATGTGATTTAATACAGACCTATTTGAACTCAAATAGGGTGGGGGCCAAATTTCTGCATTTGGTTTCTGCTGTTGAGTAATAAAATCAATTCATGCCTGTTTCTGAATCACAAAAGGAAAACCTTTTTTTAAAAACATTTTCCCAGCCTTTCACATTACAGCATTAAGTGTGTATGGATCTGAAAACGTAAAGAATGTACAAATTAATGATTTAAAGATAAAGCCTAAAGCATTAATTTTGGTAGAAAGTTTTCCTTTAAGCTCCCTTGATAAATTACGAGAAAACATAAGGAAAAAAATATAAAAATTTATTAACATAGAAAAAAAGAGACCTGAGAGACATAAAGAGCCAAATGCAAGGTATGAACCTTACATGGATTCTAATTTGAACAAGCAATCTGCAAAAAGCTGTTTTTGAGACAATCAGGGAAATCTGAATGTGGAAGAGTATTAGATATTAAATAACTGTTAATTTTACAGGTATGATAATGGCATGGTGGTTATATTTTTTAAAAGGCCTTATGAATTAGTGATAAATGCTGAAATATTTACAGGTGAATGGACTTGATGTCTGAAGTTTACTTTAAAATACTATGATGTAAAGAAAACAGGGGGGTGCTTTAGAGGAAACAACTGACAAAATGTTAACTGTTGAAACTAGGTAATATTGCATAAGGATTTATTATCTTAATCTCTCTAATTTTGTATATGTTTACAATTTCCCATAATGCAAAATTAAAAATAAAAGACTATATAAACAACCTGATGGCACCGGCCCCGTGGCCAAGTGGTTAGGTTCGCAGGCTCCGCTTCAGCAGCCCAGGGTTTCGCCAGTTTGAAGCCATGCTGAGGCGGCATCCCACATGCCACAACTAGAAGGACCCAAACTAAAACTACACAACTATGTACCAGGGGGCTTTGGGAGAAAAAGGAAAAATAAAATCTTAAAAAAAAAAAAACACCAACCTCATGGTGAAATTACATTCTCAATGTGAATTTATGCCATGAAAGGACACTTCTTAAACGAAAGCTCATTAGACTAATCTTTCCAATCTAGTCTAACACTAAAGACAAGAATAACCTTACAGTGGGATTTGTATTTTGGTGGGAGCTTGAGGTCTTTGGGGGCTTTCAACTCACTCCTGACTGAGTCTCTAGGGCACCATGACATAAGAAATCCTCTCTCCCCTACCTCTTAGCTCATATGAGCAAGTCCTGAACAGACTCAGAGCCTTAAAAGGAGCATATATTGCGTTTTGTTCAGAAATTCAGGGGGCTATATAGCTCTAAACACACAATTAGGGGACGGATAACTAATACATGCTCTTACATTTTATAATATGTGGTCTGAATTTCCTCAGTTACAGTCTATTTAAAAAATCAGAAGTATAAAAAATATAAGCATTAATTTAAGAAAAGTAAAATGTGGAAATTCTAAGTGAAAAATGTTCAAGAATCTATTTTAAACACTAAAGTGCTCATTTAAATAAAGGAACATTTTGAGCACTTAATAGAACGCTATATACGTCTATATAAATTGAATCCCGGGTAGCACAAGAGCACCATAGCTGGGAGACGGATGGCAGTATTCACAGAGCAGATGTGTGGAGTTACATGAGAATATATGTGACGGTAAGAGAGGAGACACTGGGTCTCCTGGTTGAAACCTAAAGCCATGAGGAAAGCTCTCTGTCATGTAACTCCACAGTGGTACCCACAACATGCACCTACTTGGGAGAGCCAGGTACCTGCACACCCACTGGCACATCCCAGTACCTATCTTCAGCTCTAGGAGGCCCAATTCTGACTGGCTCATTTTCTATACCAAACAGGGTAGACTTACGGGGATGGGAATGGGGGTGGGAGAATGTATGCACTGCCAGTGGTATGTGAGCCCTGACAGTTATGGGCCCCCACATCCCAAACCCCCAGGGCCAGACTGAGCCAAAGGAGCGTGTCCTCTCAGCAGCAGTTTTGTATGATTCTTAACAGAATGTAGATGCTCCGGTCACTGATTTAAAAATAAGTTTGATTCATGGAACCACCGTTTGGGTGAACTGATGCTAGATGCTACTCCCTGAACCAATGCTCCCCAGTCCCGTCCCCTCATTCCCATCCCTCCTTACAGGAGGGTGGAGTCGAGTCACCAGACAAGACCAGAGAGGTGCCCATCTACATTCCTACTTTTTTCAGGCCTGAACATAAGATTGTTCAATTGTTGTGTATAACATACTGAAAAATTTTACTCAAGAAAGGGCACATTTTTCTAATTTTCACAAAGGCAAATGGGTTAGCAGTGCCCCTGTTTGAATCAGACTCAGAATCTAAGAGTTAGTAGGGACCAGGGAGATCAAACACTGCATTGAGATAACCCAGTGCATAAGCTACTATTTGCCTTTATATTGGGCCCTTTAGTAAATTGCATTTAGCCTTCTTAGCTTATTATTTGGTTCCCTTAAGCAATGACTTGCTAACTCCTACTCCCAATGTCCTAAATTGATTTAATGTAGCAGCTCAAAAGTTTTCACTCACTCCCAGGCCACACTTACTATACTGGGGGAAATGGCCTGGTTACTAGATGCAGAAAGGGCAAAAGGAAAACATTAGGTTTAGCAGAGCAGCATTAACTTATTTAAATTATACAGTCTCTTTCTACTTCCATGTTTGCAGATCTATTTCATAACCTTGTGCTTCAATCAAAATTTCCTAATGCCTAATAAGTGGATATATTAACTGAGAAAATCTTACATATGAAGCATAAATAATTATAAAACTATACCATGCCTTGGTTATACTACTTTGAGAAAAGCTTTCCTTTCCAATTGTTTCTCCATTTAACAAATGGTGTTTATGTGGAGCTATTAGTAAAAGAGAAATAAATGGCTGTTTCCATTTAATCAAAATTTTATATCATCATGACAAAGTCCCTCTCTGAAACAACATTAACTAAGAGAAGCATAGCTCTGGGGAAATTGTGTTTTCCAGTTAATGCTGCTGAAGAAACAATTAGAAGTTCAATAAGACACAGGCTATCCGGAAGTCTCATTTATAATTAATTAATTTACCAATAAGCCATTTGTTAAGCTCCTACAACATGCAAGGTAAGAATCCAGGTACTGTGCTTGGTGTGGAAAGATAAAAGGATTTAATCCCTGTCTGCAAAGAGTTCACAGCCTATTAGAAAGAGTTTGAGGCTAGTTAATGGGGGTAATAATTGGTCCTAAGAAAAGGAAACTGAGGAGAACTGACCCTAAGACCGCCAAAGGATGAATTAAAGAGAACAGTCTACACCGTCCCATAACCTACCCTTGGGCTCAAGAGCGGAGCATAGCTCCAAAGGCAGTTCAAGGATCAAATGTGCAGTGTTAACAGTCTGGTCAGATCCTGTTCCAGTAAGAATCTCCCCTTTGCTCAGGTAATATTAATGGAATGGTTAAGCATCTGAACAAATACTGTGTTCTGGGTGTGTACATACACACACACACACTACATATATGTGTACATATATATATATGGAAATATGTGTGTATACACATATATACACACACTATACATATTTTTATATATATAATATATACATACATACACACACATAGTTGGATGTGGCTGTTCTTATGATTACAGGGCTGGAATACAGAAAGGTCTTTTGCAGGGTAAACAAAGCCCTTTGCAGCCTCTGAGCTGTTAGACAGCCTGTTTAGTGCTGCAAAGCTGCTCTGGTCCCACTAGGTTATGTGTTAAATACAAAACTTGATACACTTTCAAAATATCTTCACCTCTTACTTAATTCTGGGGACTCCAGGTAGGCCATGACAACCAGCAGGGGGAGTGATGGACTTGATACTAACAGGGAGACTGACCTATTAACAAGTAAGGATTAATACAGAAAACTGTTACAGGTGATATACAGTAGAAGCACTGGTCACGTTTTTGGTATACCTGATGAATTGCCATCTTAAGCAAAGAACTTAAAAAAATGTCTTTGGCGTGAAACTATTCCTAATATGTACTGTATACTCATTATTGGAAAACACCATATGGGAAAGGAGACTAAAACAGGTTACTGGAGAAAGCAATGTTGACTATGACTTTCTGATACCACCAACAGTTACCCACTCATTCAGCTCTGCTGTGCCCATGACAACAAAAGTCTGGTACTATCAGACATTTTGGATCCCAAGGGTCCAAGCTAGGTTGGACAGTTGACTCTGGTTAAGATATTTCCCCACCAGGAATAAAGAAGGGAGAAAGCGAGGAGTAGGGTAAGGCAGAGTTTCTAAAACTTCACTATAGTACTTTCCTTAATCACTGATTGAGAAACACCTTGTCTGGTAAAGGGAATGTATATGGCTGTATGGGAAGACCCAAGAGTGAAGCTCAAGGCTCACGTATCCATGAGAAGACATTTCTGTGAGAATGGAGACCCCAAATCAGAAGTTATAGAGGGATCACAAGTTCAGATGGGAGCCTGGCCAGGAGAACCTAGATCATG